CCATATGTAAATGGTCATGGCCATGAAAATAAAGAAAACACGTTGAATGAGAAGGTGTGTCCAAACCTTTGGCCTGTACTGTAGATGGGCAGTGTTAGTTTTTTAGTGACCTGCAGTATTAACAGGAGAGAACATGCAAACATCACCGCTGCTGTGTTGAAATTCACTGGTCCAGAGCGGGTCAACTCAAAACACGTCATTAACTCTAGGTCAGGGATGCCGCTAGGGGGTGCGCGAGGTGAAAAGTGGAATGGCTGCGGAGCCCAGAGAAGTCTGTCATATGTCACCATTATTGTAGAAACTCATGTGTGGGTGGGCCAAAGAAAACGTAAGTGGGCACAATAAATGTAATTGAAAACAAGTATATTTTTGCGAGCGCGCGCGTGTCCTCCGCATGTGCCCTAGCTTCATAATAACAATGCGCCGAGCTTCAGCGCTCTGGCCTGCGCACGCCGATATGTTCCGTATTTGATCATTTTTAACGGTGTTGGAGGAATCTGAAGGTGGCGAGTCATTCTGGCAGATTGTAATTAACACCTGTCTCATGCAGGTGTTCTGACGTTGTAAACCTCACACACAGAACATTGTGGATGTAACTAAATAACAAGAAATGATTCCCATTCAGGCTATTGACAGCGCGCAACAAACATCTTTCTGACAGGTTTATTCAAATCTAGCAGAGTTTACCATTAACACGGAAATGTTTGACAGTGTAGGATCTACAGAGTCTTGTGTTACAGGGGAACACCGGGGAAAGCACCTGCTTCTTTATTGGGTATTTTATCATTTCAGCTTCACACTCACGCATATACACAGGTCCTTCTCCAAAAATTTGCATATTGTGAAAAAGTTCATTATTGTGTGTAATGTACTGATAAACATTAGACTTTCATATATATTAGATTCATTACACACAACTGAAGTAGTTCAAGCCTTTTATTGTTTCTAATATTGGTGATTTTGGCGTACAGCTCATGAAAACCCAGAGTTCCTATCCGTGATTTGAGAGCACATTTCCCTGAACGATTAAAAGTGGGTTTCATTTAAACGGCGGATTCTGTGGATAGGATATTGGATTGTCGCTGCTGTGTGTTTTTCTCTAAATGTGTGTTTAGTGTCTTTTTACATCCTTTTGATTTAACAGCTTATTGTTGAATGTTGATGGAGGAAACTCGGGTTCTGTTGTTTGGAAGATCAGCTCTTCCCGTTCTGCATGTGTGTGCGGTTTATACATGGGTGAATATTAAGCATGTTTTTGGAAGGACGTTGTTACTGTGAAGCGGACCCGTTACTGGATTGAGGTTGAGTTTCACCGCTGATGACATCCACAGACAACATCCCCCACACTTTTGAAAAGCTTGCAACGCGCCTGTTTGTCAGAATTCAGCTTCAGTAAGTTGGAAGCGAACCAGGAACAAATATCTGCAAAGTATTCAGAGTGAGGATGGTGGAAGTGTTGTAGATAGAGCAGTTGAAATATACACTCACTGGCCACTTTATTGGGCTGCACCTGCTGTGTAATCATGACATTTACTTGGACAAAGAGGGCAAGATGTGGTACTGATTCCACCAAGAGATCATGCAAGAAGTCTGCCTCATTTTCATCAGTAAGAAATTTTTATTTCTGTCCTTTAGGGTTAGGGTTGAATGGGGGAAATGCTGTGCATTTAACATAACACTGCTTGGCCAAAGATAGGTTAAATATAATGTGTTGGTAGGGCTGGCTGGCTAACGAAACTGGAGCTAAGTAGGATAACCAAGGCAAGCAGAGGCGTCTGGGCTTCGCGAGGCCGCCGTTGCAGAAGGGAGATTTGCAGAATTTCGGTAATGTTTCTCTCCCTTTAGCAGTGTCAGCGCTGTTATCAGAGATTTGCAAAAATGCTTCCCTTCATTCTCTCGGAGGTAGCTTCTTCTGTCTCCCAGCCAGGAACAGCTGCTAGACGCAGGCAACCCGCTCCCGTCTTCCAGGGCACGACTGTAGTCGTGCTGGTCGCCGCCGGTGGAGCTGTCTGAGAAAGACCACGGGAACGCCGCAGCTTTTGTTGCTAAGAGCGCCCGGAAACCTCTGTTAGCTTCAGGTCTGCATGTTGCTAATTTCCTGCTGATCTGCGACCGCGGCCGTGGAGCGGAGCATGAACTTATTCACCCTTTCTACCAATTCCACTTTTCCTGTGATCCACTGGTTCTTATTTGTTTTCTCTTTACCTTTCCTTACATTTTTAATCACTATTTTAATTTTCATTAATTTATGATATTTTGTAATCATTAAACATTTTTTGTTATTTTTTTATTTTTGTTCTTGTGAAGCACCTTGTGTTAGCTCGTAGCTACATTGGTTCAAAGTTTTTGGGTGTCAATCGTTTGCTCCCACCTTCACAGCTCCACCTCTTTTCCTATTTTTGGATTGTCTGGATGTGATGAGACGTGTGACATGGCCAAAATGGCGATGGTTGGAACTAGAGCCCTGCGTGGGACTGTTTTCTTCAGCCCGCTCCTGCCCGCTCCCGCTGAATTTCTGACCATTACCGCCCGCACCTGCAGCGTGCATGTCCACTCCCGCCCGCAACCGCAAAACTCACAGAAATTATTACCTCACAATAAAAGAGATGTACTGAGTTTGCGTCCTCAACATGTCATTTTATAGGCTAGCACAGGGGTCGGCAACCCGCGGCTCTTCCATCCATCTGATGCGGCTCTCTGTGCTTGTAAAATAATGAATGGATATTTAACCCTTTGATGCATAATGGTCACTACAGTGGACAGGTACTCAAAATTGTTATTTCTTTATTTTTGCTATTAAGCACAGCTGTTGAAGACTTTATTGCATGTGAGCCCCTCCGTTTGGACTTCAGTAAGTCAAGCCACCATATTTCATGTTCAGAATGCACACTGTCCACTGAGGTGGACGTGTAATAAATTATTTGTAAATTAACAAAATGTTACAAAAAATATTTGTTGAAAGTTGTTTCATTCACACCTGAAGATGAATGAAAAAAATTGTTAAAAAAATCATGGGTGAAGATTTCATAATTCATGCATCAGAGGGTTAAATAAAATGCTTTATATTTTACTGAATTAATGTTACATCTGTATGCTAATTCTAAATGTAAAGATTGTCTGCGTAAACCTGAACAGTTCCAACCCGGTCTTACTGTGAGACCGGGTTGACGCGTCACGCTTGTGCGTAATCATAGGCGCTTTCTGAGCGGACGAGGATGTGAGATTCTGGGATTCTCCTCAGATCCTGGATATGTCGCCACATTGGAGACAGGAACAAGCGCTATTCAGCCAAAGTTTCATCATCAGGGAACATTTTCTAAGTGACAAGTCTCTCTGAGAGACCGGGTTTGGAAAACACTCGCTTCAGTGGGAGGAATCTTCCTGCATGCGCTCTGGTTCTGCGACGCGCTCCAAGCCCCTCTCCACATCCTCAGCTCGCTGTGCACCTTATGTACGCGCTGACTCTTTTCTTGGGTGGTTTAGCTACATCTGCGATGTGCGTAGAGTAAAATGTCAGTTCGTCTGCATGCGTCGGGGTAATTCTTTCTATTCTTTCTCCATCAAAATAAACGGTCAAATACGGGAACTGTCCGGTCAACACAAGCCCTGCTTTTGACTGTTCTGTTTTCTTGTGAAAATTGTTGGAAAGAGATAAAATTTAACTTGATTACCACCAGAGCCAGTGCGCCGTCATCTCTGTGACGCTAAATGAGGGAAAAACAAATAGATCGGGTCCTGCACCTCTTTTAACACATCGGTCAGGATTGACGCACTTTGTATTCATTTAGTTTTTAACCCTTTAACGCTGAGGCGTCACCAGGATCACCGGTGACGCCTCGGCGTATGTGATTTCAGATAACTCCTCGCTATATTAAACTATAGAATTCTTAAAAAAAATAAAACACAAAGGAGCTGCTGTGTGGGGTTTAAAGGGTTAATGAAATCAAGGCCGTTTCATATTCTCTTCTCCTCTGTAATCAGGCAGTCATCGAGGTCGCTTCTCTAACAGAGACCTGAATGAGAAATATTAACACAATCGGAGAAACTCCTCCAGATGTCTGACTGGCCTCGCTTCGGTGTTTGTGTCATAAAGACCTTGTTTCAGCTTCTTTTCAACATCAGTTGCCGACTCCATCATACTCATCCCGATCCCGCACTGTTTCTTTTAGCCGACCGTTCCGGCCCACAGCAAAATTCACACCGCCCGCCCCCGCAAGATTTGTGTTGGGTCCGGCGGGAGCCAATCCCGATGCAGCCCTCTAGTTGGAACCACCCATTTGGCCTCATTGCCATCTTTAGAGGGTTTTCTCCAGGATTATATGTCTATGGTTTTTACCAAATGATTTTCACCCAGTGGGTAGACTGTTGTTCTACAGTTCAGCACAAAGTCTAACAACATTATAAACAGTCATAAGGCAGAATTAGCACATCTTTTGCAGTGGTCGTTCTCTTGCACCAATCTTCTCTGAACCTCCCTGCTTTGCAGTCAGGAAAGCCCCTACCTTGGAGGAAACACTACATCTCATCTCCTGTCCCTCATCACATGGGACTTTCCAGTGCGGTTCATGTAGGCATTGTCATCAAATCAATAAAAACAGATCGCACAAGGACTCGGTGGGTGACAGAATCTTCTGGTGCAAACACTACACCACAAGCCACCAGATTTCCCGGTCTCAATCAGGAGAAGGGTCTGACGGGGTTTCTGCCCAATGTATGAAAACTGGAAGTTGGTTCCATCAGCGAGTAGCTGGAGAAATGAAAGCTCTGAGTCCTGTTTTACCTTAGGAACCACGAGTACGTCTGCACTCTGAGAGCCAGGTGCAAAATTGGGAACATCTTGAGCCAGAGATTCTTTTAAAGACAGCCAAAACTGAGATAAACCTGTGGATTCTAAAATGTTTTATAATACTTCCCATATCTTTGTTTTGAAATTATTTATGAAAAATCACACAATAATTCTTACCTGTGCTGTTCTCTTACACCTTCTGTCTATCATCTAGTCAATGTTATGGATGTGGAGTGCATTCAAGAGGGCTGCCAGTCAGAGACACTACGGCGCATGGCTGGCTCAGTTCCTGAGGACCAGTGTTTAACAGTGGTCTTCAAAGGGTCTCGCAAGAGCCTGGATCTGCTCTGTGAAAGCCAGGAAGAGGCTCGGCACTGGGTCCGTGGCATTCACACCCTGCAGGAGAGGCTGAAGAACATGAACCAAAAGGATAAACTTGACCAATATCCTTCCACGGCTTGGTAACAATGATCTTTAATTCCTTCAGAAATGTCATGGTTTTTGGGACAAGGGGTGTTAGAGACACTTCAGTTCTCAGTGACAGTTTCATTAAAGCTGTTGCTAAAACAAACCTAACCTGCATCTGTTGACTTCTCTCCATTTAGATCCATTGATCTACTAGATCAATCAGAATTTGGTTTAATTATGAAATGCCTAATCAGGACAGGAGTTGTGTTAAGGCGCATCACACAGTAAACATACCAATAGTGTTCAGTTCATTTAGCCAATCAGTAAAAAGTTTCCTAACCCTATTTAGTAAGAGATCGACTTTATTGTACTTATCTTAGTGAATCTATAATTAATTCAACAGGTAAACTAGTTGTAGCATGTGCAATGTCAACGAGAGTAAAACGTTATCATCAGGAGAGGGAGAATGTCTAAGTGCCGATGGCCCCTCCATGAGGCCACCACTGCTCAGCAGAATACTAATGCAGCTACTTCTGGGGAGAAGTACAGGTCCAGAATGAAATGGAGACAGAACTGGTATGAATATTAGTTGTGAGCTGCAAACCCAGATAGTCAATTTCTAAATGTTGCTTCCCTAACGATTTTGTGTTACTTGGATTCGTACTTATCTGAGTAAGGCTGACCAGAATCACGATAACAAGATGAGTTATGAAGAGGTCCAAAAGCTGCTGCAGATGATTAACGTTGACCTGAGTGATCAGTATGCTCGCACTCTTTTTCAGGTAGAGTAGCACACGCTGAGAGATCTTGACTGTTAGGTCAACATGAACGCATAAACAAAAAGTAACATAATCTTTGTCTGAATGACAGAAATGTGATCAGTCAGCTGATGGTCATCTGGATCATGAAGAAATTGAAATATTCTGCAGAGAGTTGCTTCGGAGACCAGAACTGGACGCCATATTCATTCAGTACTCTGCAAACGGCTGCGTGCTCACCACTGTGGACCTGAGGGATTTCCTCAAGGACCAGGGGGAAGATTCTTCACTCACACATGCTCAAAGCCTCATACTCACCTATGAGCTCAATGAGTGGGGTACAGTACTTAGTCCTACCTTATCTACCCCTAACCTTACCATAACCAAATCTATGTTGTATGGTCAAGCCAATTCTCCCCCTAACCATTCACTAACCTTATCTTAACCCTAGCCTATCTTACCTACTGTTAATCACAACCTTTCTCTAACTGTACCTAATTCCCTACTCTGTCCTGCTTTTCAATCTATACTACTATATATATATATATATATATATATATATATATATATAAAAGGTCAAAGTGGGCAACACCCCCTAAGGTGGTTGAGACTAAAAGTTCCTGATGTGGCAATACCAAGGGATGGCTACATCATGAAAAGGAACACGAGAAACTAAAGGAATACCAGGGCCTCAAAGAAGAACTTGGGAAATCCTAGAGAGTGGAGACATCAGTGGCACCTGTGGTCATCGGGGTCATCATGGCACTCAGGGCAGTAAGCCCCTCCTCATGCTGCCTTGATTTTGGTCTCCAATCTTCTCTTCTATGGTGGGTATTAGGGGTGTGCCGGTACGCCTGACATCCCGGTTCGGTACATATCTTGGCTTAATATTACGGTTCGGTACAGTAAATAAATTAAAAACGCTTTCCTTTTGTGTAAACAGTAAATTCTTTATTTACATTTAAGTTGAACATTTACTTGCTTTACATTCTGCGAGATATCCCCAGTAAATGAAAATTCACATGTATGATGTTTTACATAAAAATACATACTGGTTTCAATATTATTGGAAAAATGCAGCATCAACATTTGACTTGCTCTTTACAAATAAACAACTGAAAGAGCTGGCTTAACTACTGAAATAAAGAATTATTTTGTGCATACAAGCAAAACTTTAAGACTTTTTAAAGTGCAACTATTCTTGTAATCTCGTTTTTAACATATAGTCTGAGAAAAAATAAGATAAAAATAAATATGTGCAAGTTTAAATATTTATTTAGATGATTATTGTGCTGGTTTTTTTGAAGAACTTATGTGTAAATGAAGGAACAAACGGAATTATTACGATTGAAATAGTTAACAAAAACATTCTGCAACATCAGGAGTTCCAGCTTGTTGCCTTTCTAGGTTCACTCATCCTTCATGTTTTTTGCCAGAAATTAGTCCGCATTGTCTGCAGAAAGGGCAGATGTGTTGGCTGTTACGACATCTCCAGCAGTAGAAAAAAGCCTCTCGCTGGGGACAGAGGACGCTGGTATGCCAAGGTAGCATTTGCTAGCTTGGCAATGTGGGCATACATGTGTTCATTGCTACATATCTCACGGGGAAGCCGTTGTGTTCCCATACAGGAGACTTTAATGACAACCGTGGATATTCGAGCTCTTCCTCTCCCGAGTCGCTTGCCATGACTTCTGCGGCGCTCCACTATGTGTTTAGTTAGCATGCTGTAGGTAAATGTGCAACGCAATTAGAGTAGAAACTTGGTACGAAAGTGCGTACCGCACCGACAGGGGCGTACCGACACATTCGAATACACAGGGGCGTACCGGCCCACCCCTAGTGGGTATTGTTTCTCATGGTTGCTCCTGCACTCAGTGGCAGATTTAGCAATTTGGGGGCCCAAGGCGAACACAGACATGGGCCCCCTTACACAAAATTCTCGACAATCTTATCTTTAACTGGATTTGCGAAACTCTCCCCTCTTCTGACATGAGTTATTTTCCATTTTTATTGGTCCTCCTCGTTTTCCCTGTCTTTCTCTCCCTTTGAGTGCCTTCAATATTTGCTCTGCTTTATTCTTCCTGTCAGGGCTCCTGTGCTTTTGCCTTTTTTTTTTCTATTTTCCATTTTGGTCTGTTTTCCTCCCTTTAAACATTTTCCAGTGTCTTTCCTTTCTGCTTCCTTTTGATGTTTACATTAAAAAATGACGTCATTTTAGGAAGTGAAGATAAAAGCTATTTAAAGGCAAGCTGATTCCTTCTCTTATTGGAGCCACTAGGATAACTCCCATTTCATGCTTAATGTTTTGACTACGGCTTCGAGTTTGTTACGAACGCTCCTGCCTCTCTTCTACTTCTTCCGCTTTCTCTCCTTCTTCTTATTTGTGGTCTTATGGCACTTGGCAAACAACAATTTGGTGCATTACTGCCTGCAACTGGATTGGACTGGAATGACTACCAATCGCTTCCTGTTTGTGCAACGACGTCTTAAAGGAATACTCCATTGTGGCATTAACAGAGGGGTGCCAGCAGTCAGGACTGGGGGGCCCCCAACATAATGGGGCCCCAGGCTGCTGTTGACCTATGCCTAATGGTAAAACCGCCACTGCTTGCTCTAACAACTAAGACTCTCAAGGATCACTGCTGCTGTAGTGTATGTCAGCTCATTGGTTTCTGTGATGGTAATATATATATATATATATATATATATCAATATATATATATATATATATATATATATATATATATTGATATATATATATATATATATATATATATATATATATATATATATATATATATATATATATATATATATTGATATATATATATATATATATATATATATATATATATATATTGATATATATATATATATATATATCAATATATATATATATATTGATATATATATATATCAATATATATATATATATATATTGATATATATATATATATATATATCTATATATATATCTATATATATTGATATATATATATATATATATATATATATATATATATATATATCAATATATATATATATATATATATATATCAATATATATATATATATATATATATATATATATATATATATATATATATATATATATATATATATATATATATATTAGGGCCGGGACTTTAATGCGTAAATTATGATTAATTAATTAGAAGAAAATAACGCGTAAAAAAAGAATTCAATCATTTAATCGCAGCTTGCATTTCGAGCACGGCGGAACCTTTGTCATTGCACGACTTCCTCGTAGACAGAATATCACTGACGCACACAACAATGCACAGTGCTAATGGCTACTAAAACAGAATAAAAACAGAAAGAAGTTGCCTTGCTTGGACTGATGCAGGATTTAGGAAACACGTCCGCCTCTTTTCTTAACTTGAAAAAAAAACTTCCAGACAACAACGGAGTCCGTGTCGCGGACATTTTTCAGAGCTCGTCTCTGCTGCGGCTGCCCGGTGGCACCGGGAACTTTACAATAGTTGCGGTAAGCTATATTTTTAACATTTACGTAACATCTGTGCAGCGCTGAAAGCATCAGACAGAATAATTCTGTGCCCTAACAGTAGTTTATGAAAGTAGTCAGACAAACGAGAGGCACCTGGATGCCGCTGGGAGAACGCTCCGTGTTCTCACTACTCTGTAAACAATCACAAACAACGTGTCTTAAAGTTGAAAACAGAAGTTTAAGTTAAAACAGAAACACTCTGAAACTTTTCTGATGATTTTCTAAACAATTCTGTCGGGGAGTTATACGTTTCTGAGACGAGTCTCTGTCTAAACATCACATGCATTACTATCATTAAGCAGCAGGTATGTTGAAGCTGTCACCAGCTAAGGGGCGGATGCTTAAGTGCATCAGGGGCAGCGAGGAACGAGGAAGTCGTGGTCAGGCTGGAGATCACACCTGATTCGCTGCTGCAGGTGTGAATCTGCAGGTCTGCAGCATCCCCTTCTTAACGTGACATCAGGACTTCCCATGTAAGGAAGGTCCGCTCACCTGTTCGTCAGATCATTATTTCCTCGCCATGATCTTTTATCTTCCCATCATCCTCCAGTCATCCAACTGGAACCAGTTAGTGTTCCTGATCATTCTCAGAATATGCCACGCCTGCTCTGGTGTTAAAAGTTAGTACATTTAAGTCCTTGATCATATTTGTGCCTGTTCTACTGTCATTTTGAAGGATTATTATTTATATGTGTGTTTTTACTACATTATGAGTAGAAATGCTAATAAAAACTCCCAATTATACAAACAAGTGAAACTGGAAAAATTAGAATCTGGTGCAAAGTCAAATTTATTTCAGTCATTCAACTAGACAGAGAGACTATTTAAAGGCTCAGGAACCCTTTGCAGGTGTTTTCTATTAGTAATTATAAATTTTAGTTGATTTGGGTTTTGTTTCATATCACACAGTGACATTTGAACAATTAAAATCCATTTTTGTATTAAAAGCTTTAGTTTACAGTAATAACTATGTCTAATGTTTGATTCTCATCTTCGTCCTCTTCCTCCGCTTATCCGGATCCGGGTCGCGGGGGCAGCATCCCAACTAGGGAGCTCCAGACCGTTGTCTCCCCGGCCACCTCCACCAGCTCCTCCGGCAGGACCCCAAGGCGTTCCCGGACCAGATTGGAGATGTAACCTCTCCAACGTGTCCTGGGTCGACCCGGGGGCCTTCTGCCGGCAGGACATGCCCGAAACACCTCCCCAGGGAGGCGTCCAGGAGGCATCCTGACCAGATGCCCAAACCACCTCAACTGACTCCTTTCGATCCGGAGGAGCAGCGGTTCTACTCCGAGTCCCTCCCGAATGTCCGAGCTCCTCACCCTATCTCTAAGGCTGCGCCCGGCCACCCTACGGAGGAAACTCATTTCGGCCACTCGTATCCGCGATCTCGTTCTTTCGGTCATTACCCAAAGCTCATGACCATAGGTGAGGATTGGGACGTAGATCGACCGGTAAATCGAGAGCCTGGCTTTCTGGCTCAGCTCTCTCTTCCCCACGACAGATCGGCTCAGCGTCCGCATCACTGCAGACCCCGAACCAATCCGCCTGTCGATCTCCCGATCCCTCCTACCCTCACTCGTGAACAAGACCCCGAGATACTTAAACTCCTCCACTTGAGGTAGGACCTCTCCCCCGACCCGGAGGTGGCAAGCCACCCTTTTCCGGTCGAGAACCATGGTCTCAGATTTGGAGGTGCTGATCCTCATCCCAGCCGCTTCACATTCGGCCGCGAACCTACCCAGCAAGAGCTGAAGGTTAGAGCTGGATGAAGCTAGGAGGACCACATCATCTGCTAAAAGCAGAGATGAGATTCTCCTGCCACCAAACTCGACACACTCCACACCACGGCTGCGTCTAGAAACTCTGTCCATAAAGGTAATGAACAGAACCGGTGACAAAGGGCAGCCCTGGCGGAGTCCAACTCTCACCGGGAACAGGTCCGTCCAGCATGTCCCCTAGCATTCTAAGCCTATAGCAGCATAACTACAGATATAACTCTGGAAAAAGAGCAAGTTCTTTTAAAATACTGGCTAAGCACTAACTCTGGCACCAGCACTGTGCCAGTCCTGGTTCTGTTTTTATCAAAAAGCCCAATAACTCTACCCTTCTCTACTACACTTAACCCAAACTGATCCTACCCTACCCCTAACTCTACTGCACTCCCAACCCTATCCTAACAATGTGTTTTTCTGAGAATGACTACTAAAGCTTCTTTGGTCATTTAAGGACCAGCTTTTATTGTCGTGTATTTGTGCCTTTTGCCTTATTCAGCCAAGAGAAACCAGTTCATGACCCCCAACGGTTTCACCATGTACATGCTGTCTAGGGAGAACAGTGTGTTTGACCCGGAACATGCACTGGTTTACCAAGACATGAAACACCCACTGGCACACTACTTTATCTCCTCCTCCCACAACACCTACCTTACCAAGGACCAGGTGACTGGTAACAGCAGCATAGAGCCATACATACGGTAAGTAGAGCCATGTCATAACCCTACAACAGTAACCCTAACCTTAAAGGGATCATGCACAGCAAATTTGAAAGTTAAGAATTAACACTTAGTTAAGCTAAAATGGTTCAAATGAAGGCAACTGAACTTCTTTGGGTTCTTGAAGCATTGTCAATTCTGGCTGGAATATGGCTGGTTGTTTTATGGTTGGTAGGTACGTTGGCAGGTTGGTTGGTTGGTAGGCAGGTAGGTAGGTTATTTGGTGAAAGTAGTTAAATGAAGTGGGCATTTGAAGCTGAAGTAATTTTGAGCAGACATAATGGTTCTCCCAGGACACAGCATGAAATGGAGCAAAGGAGGCTCGACCCTCCCATACTTTTCCATTATAATTGTCATGAAATTTTCTAAACAACCACTAATCAGACTTAAACCTTAAACTGTGATTTTAGAAAAATGGTAAAAGATATCAAGAAGCAGAGTCATGCGATAATAACTTAATCTGTTGTGACTGCTGTAAACTTTGAATGAAGTCTCTAGGTCAAAGTACGGAAAAGTAGTTCAAATGGCTGAAAGGTTTTTGTGAAAAAGTAAAGATTCTCCATACATTTCAATGGATCAGAAACTTGCAGAGAAAGATATTGATACCAAAATTAATGGCTGGAATCAGCTGGACATTTTGATATCAAATTTGCTGAAATGGCAAAAACATTGTAGGAGGAACTAATGAAAAACCTACGGAACCAGAGATAGGATCACTGTAGTTTGAATGGTGTAAACAGTAATGCATTAAATTACATTTTCAGCAGCGAAACCTCAACTAAAATACAGCATAGGCACATTCTGACGGAAACAGTTTTTACAGATGCTAAAAATAAAGCTGTTACGTGTTTCACCGCTTCACGCACCAAACGTGGAGTAGAAAATGGCGTCCATGAGATTCCTTCAGAAGGGATCTTTGTCAGTTACCCAGATGATAAAAAGTCACTTCCTGGTGTTGTACCTGGAGATTTAACAATCCTAATTCTCCATTTTTACACTGAAGTGTTGTTATTTATGACAAAGGCTACACCAAAGTCTCAACACTTTAATATGAGCCAACACTGGCATTTAACTGTGTGTGTGTTTCACAAGGGGAGGTATATGTTTGGTTCAGGTATGCTCCATCTCGGTCTCTTCGCTCAGCCTAGCAGGAACTTCTGGTGGTCCCCCGGTCGAAATATCGATCGAGGGGTAGTCGTGCTTGTTCTGTTCTGGCTCCAACTCTGTGGAACGAATTGCCACTGAGCATTAGGCAGGCACCATCCCTTCACGTCTTAAGTCTCGTTTAAAGACTCATTTTTATCTGATTGCGTTTTAGCGCTAGGGTTCTTTGTATTGCCCTGACATTATGGTTTTAATTCTTCTTCTTTTTAACCCAGATGCTTGATTTTATTTTGTCCACCATTTCTTTTTGATCAATTAGTCTTATTCCGTTATCTCTCTTTATTTGTAATAGTGTTTGCTTGATATTTTATGATTTTATGTTTTTATCTTGCTTTTATGCCCAGGTACTGGGAATGTTTTTCTTATGATGAGGCTGTTCAGCACCTTGGGCTTCCGATAACATTGTGGAAGGTGCTCTACAAATAAAATTTGATTGATTGATTGATTGATTCAGGAGCAGGACGGCATCTCCACCACACCTCTAACCAAGCCGTCTCACCTGCAAACTTTTACAGATCTAAAGCTGAGCTAGCTACACACCTGCTTCCTTTCCGCCAAGGACTCTCAGTTCAAGCAGTCAAACCAGCTAACCACATTTTCTAGGGAAATGCTTCTGATTGTAGCTGGTCTGTGTCACACATTCAGCCTTGCTGCTTCAAAGCATCTGACTGATTACTTCTCTTCTAGAGCTTTGAATCAGGGCTGTCGTTGTGTAGAGCTTGACTGCTGGGATGGTGATAAAGGTGAACCTGTCATCTATCACGGTCACACATTCACCTCCAAAGTGGACTTTGTGGACGTTATTGAGACAATCAATGAGTACGCTTTTAAAGTGAGTATGTTCTCTGAGTCTAAATCCCTCTTATAGACATGCATGACCGTTCCCTTTGCCAGTCCTGTCTGATTAATATCAGATAAACAGGCTTGCCATACATTCTTCTATGGGGGTGTTTCAAAAGTCTGCACTACAGAAAGAGGTAAATGAATCAGTATTAGCATTTTGGTGGCAGCATCTTGTTGTAATTCATTATTCTGGTTTGTTTTTCAGTGGTTGGAGTGAAAATGGACTTTAATTTTGTACTTTTGCTCAAATCTGCCAGAATAGGGTTCACCTAGAGGTAGCACTGTTCACCTTATTGCTCTCCCTCAGGCATCTCCATACCCTCTCATCCTTTCCCTGGAGAACCACTGCTCCCGTGAGCAGCAGATGGTGATGGCTCGACACCTGCGATCCATTCTGGGTGACAAGCTGGTCACTAAGCCCCTCAAAGGCCTGGATTCCTGCTACCTGCCGTCCCCAGAGGTAAAATAGTGACATAACTCGTTTCATTGAGCCTAACAAGGACTAAAAAGAGAAAAACTGTTCTCTTCACATGCTTTTTTTGGACATTTTACTTTTCTGTTTCTGGTGCTGTGAAGCTTAGAGGATTTTTACTGCTATTTTTTCACTTTCTGAGCACTTGTTAGATACGTAACCATGGCAACAAGCTGGTTTACAATCGGGAGCAGCTGATTAACATTGGAAAGGCTGAAATAATACCTCAACTGAAGCCACAAATCCCAAATGAGGTAAAACGCAAGAAGCGTGGGTGCATTGCGGGAGCAAAATGGAGACAGAGAAAGAGGAAATTCAAACCATCTCTTCCATCGACCATAATGGGCAATGTGAGATCACTGGCTAACAAGATGGATGAACTCCAAGCCCTTTCAAGGACTCAGCCAGAGTATCGGCAGTGCAGTGTTATGTGTTTCACTGAGACGTGGCTGCAAGACCATATCCCCGATTCCAGCATCTCTCTGCCAGGATTCCTGACTGTACGAGCAGACAGAGATCTGAAGAGGAGCAGGAAAAGAAAAGGAGGTGGAGTGGCAGTGCTTGTCAATAACAGATGGTGCCATCCAGGTCATGTTTCAGTGAAATGTCGTCTCTGCAGCCCAGATGTTGAACTCTTGGCAGTAAGTTGTCGCCCATATTATTTGCCAAGATAGTTCACCAGTGTTGTCTTGGCAACCGTTTATATTCCACCTTCAGCCATTGCTGAAAATGCATGTGATGCCATCAGTTCCGTTGTCGCTAAGCTACAAACCCAGCACCCCAATGCATTTGTGGTTATATCTGGTGATTTTAATCATGCCTTGCTCTCTGCTACACTTCCAACATTTCAACAGTTTGTCATCTGCTCCACCAGAGAAAACAAGACATTGGATTTGTGTTATGCAAATGTAAAGAATGCATACATGTCCAAAACAAGACCTCCTCTGGGACAATCAGATAACAATCTTGTTCTTCTCTGCTCAGAATACAAACCACTTGTTCAGAGGCAACCTGTGACAAGAAGAACTGTGAGAAAATGGTCTGAAGAAGTCCTGCAGGGTTGTTTTGAGACCACAGATTGGATGACTATCTGCCAAGGAAATGAAGAGGACATCAATGCCATGACTGGATGTGTCACTGACTATATAAACTTCTGTGTGGACAACATCATACCCACCAGAACTGTGAGATGCTTCGCTAATAACAAACTCTGGATCACCAGTGAACTGAAGAATCTGCTAAATGAGAAAAAAGAGCCTTCAAGGAGGGAGACAGGGAATTATTGAGGAGTATACAGAAGCAACTGAAGATCAAGATCAGAGACAGCAAGGAGGCATACAGGAAGAAGCTGGAGAACAAACTACAGAGGAACAATATCAGAGATGTCTGGTCAGGGATGAAGAAGATCACAGGCTTCAAGCAGAGGAAGGATTGCACAGATGGCAGCCTGGACACAGCCACTGAACTGAACAAGTTCTTCAATAGGTTCAGTTCAGGAACAAACCCAGCATCCTCCTCGCCTGTCCCCAGCCAATCAGACATCCCATCCTCCTCTGATCCAACATTTTCCTGTCCCACGCCAGCTCTTTAGTCCTCTAACGCAGTCATGGACTCTTCTGGTTCTATAAATCTGTCTTCAACCAAGTCAGGAGAGGCTGCTGCCCCATTTACCTCCCCCTCCCACCTATCTGTCTCTAGAAGTCAGGTGAAGAGGCAGCTGGAGAGACTGAACAGGAACAAGGCTGCAGGTCCAGATGGTGTCAGCCCCAGAGTACTGAAGGCCTGTGCAGAGCAGCTCTGTGGGATTCTGCAGCACCTCTTCAACCTCAGCCGTGCCCAGGAGAAGGTTCCAGCCCTGTGGAAGACATCCTGCCTTGTTCCTCTTCCAAAGAAAACTCGTGCATCAGTCAATGATGACTACAGACCGGTTGCCCTGACATCCCACATCATGAAGGTCCTGGAGAGACTCTTGTTGGTTCACCTGAATAAGCAAACTAGAACATATCGGGACCCGCTGCAGTTTGCTTATCGCCATGGAGTTGGAGTTGAAGATGCCATCATCCAGCTGCTTCAACCAATCCACTGTCATCTGGACAAAGCAGGCAGCACTGTGAGGGTCATGTTCTTTGATGTCTCCAGTGCATTTAACACAATCCAGCCTGATGTACTTTGCCAGAAACTCCAGAAGACACAGGTGGGGGCCTCAACTATCGCCTGGATTAAAGACTACCTGACAAACAGACCACAGTTTGTGAGGCTGAAGAACTGCACATCAAACCAGGCGATCAGTAACATTGGAGCACCACAGGGGACTGTACTCTCACCATTCCTTTTCACCCTGTACACCTCAGACTTCCAGTACAAGTCAGAGACCTGTCATCTACAGAAATACTCAGATGACTCTGCAGTTGTCGGGTGTATCAGAGATGGACAGGAAGCTGAGTACAGAGAGCTGGTGGAGCGCTTTGTGGCATGGTGTGGAAACAATCATCTGACCTTGAACGTGAACAAAACAAAGGAGATGATTTTAAACTTCAGAAGAAACAGGGTGGAGTCAAACACTGTTTCCATCATGGGAGAAGAAGTGGAGGTGGTTGAGGAATACAAATACCTTGGAGTTCACCTGGACAACAGACTGGACTGGAGAAAGAACAGCGAAGCCGTTTACAAGAAGGGACACAGCAGACTGCACTTCTTGAGGATGCTTAGGTCCTTCAATGTCTGTAGCAAGATGCTGCAGATCTTCTACAAGTCTGTTGTTGAGAGTGTAATCTCTTCAGCCATCGTCTGTTGGGGTAGCAGCATCAGAAGCAGGGACCTGAAAAGGCTCAACAGCCTAATAAAAAAGGCTGGTTCTGTTCTGGGGACGACTGTGGAACCGCTGGAGGAGATGATGCAAAGAAGGATTCTCCAGAGAATCAAGAACATGATGGACAACCCTGAGCATTCTCTTCTCAAGACTGTCCGACAACGGAAGAGTGTCTTCAGTCAGAGGCTTCTTCAGTTTGGCTGCAACACTGACCGCTACTGGAGATCCTTCCTGCCAACAGCCATTGTAATATACAACAACTCTTTGATGACTTGATTATTATTATTATTCTGAGCTACTACAGCATCAATTTCCCTCTGGGATTAATAAAGTATTTTTGAATTGAATTGAATTTAATTGAACTGAATTGAACTGAATGCTAATAATGCTGGAAAAGGTACTTCACAGAAAGTTTACAGAGTTAGTGCAACCAAGTGGCCACAATAAAAGAGAACTGTCCCAAAGGGCAAAGCAACAAACCAACGATAGGCTAAATTTTGAGAAGAAAACACGGGTGGATGTACGTTTGTTTCAAACAAATGCCTATTTTTGTCTGTCTGTGACATTCTCTGGTACTTTTAACTGACATTTGATGATTATTTTATTTTCAGAAGCTGAACATGTCATGAAACACTTTAACCCTCCCACTGTCCTAATGGGTGTGACCCTGCGAGGAAAGATGACCATTGAGCAGGGTTGCTGGTTTATCCCTTGGGTCCATGTGGCGGGGTGAAGAGTGAGCACTACCTCACCCTGCCACATGGACCTCACAAGGGGTGGCCAGGGCCCCTCCTCTGGCTCCGCCCCTGGCTTGCGTCTCTGCTCCCCGCTACACTGAGAGTCCACATAAATAGTGTAATATAGGTAGAAACAGGATCTGGGTGTTAAGTTGAGGGCTTCAGGGGAGCCAGACAACCTTTTAAGAGAACCAGGTTCCCCTTAGCTCTCCTGTAATTTGAACCCTGTTTCCGAGTTTGGATCGGAACGTAATGCCCGATCCAAGTCTGAAACCGCATGATCAGGACAGATTTCCGATCAAGTGCAACAGAACAGAACAGACATTTCAGTTGTGTGTGTCCGCGTTATGTTATCACGAGGTTACCCTGGAGACAGCTATGGTTGTGGCCTCTTGCTGCTACTGTACTGTCTGTGTGGCTGTATTCCAGCCACTGATTGGTCCAGCTTGGAGCAACACCTAAAGATGTTCATCTGCTCTTTCTGTTCTCATATGTCTGTCAAAGAAAAGTTCTTTTTGCTGTCATTCTACAACCCATAGCTGGAACGAGATCATGTGAAATGTTGATTTGGTGTGCAGGATCTAAAGGGTAGGATCCTGGTGAAAGGGAAGAAGGGGAAGACACAGGAGCAATGCTCATCTAGTTCCTCAGACCTCAGCTCCTCGGAAGAGGAGGCCAGTCAGAAGCAAGCAAAACCCAAGACAAACGAGGAAGACAAGGTTGGTCGAGCACCAGCAGCTCACTGTCAAAGCATTTTCACGTACAGCGGTCCTGGATGAAGAGCGGTTGTCTGAGTAAAGTCATGGGTGTCTGTGATTTCAGCCAGGTGTATCCAGACGGAGTCCAGAGTTGTCTGAGCTGGTGGTCTACACTCGCAGTGTTCCCTTTAAAAGCTTTGAGCTTTCTGCCAAAAGTCCAGCGACTGACATGTCTTCATTCCCTGAGAGCGTTGCGCTCAGGCTCATCAAGGATTCAGGTGTGGTTGTTATTTGGACAAAGTAGCATTAGCCTTGCTCATCCCAACACTAAATGAACTAACAGCTTGTGTCCCACCACTACAGGGATGCATTTCATCCGTCACAACAGTCACCAGCTGAGCAGGATCTACCCCTCAAGTCAGCGCCTTGGTTCATCCAACTACAACCCTCAGGAGATGTGGAACGCCGGCTGTCAGATTGGTATGACGGTTTTCTGTTATCGTCATATGAAGACAGCCAAAGTGCAGTCCCCTTAAAGGTGCAGTGACGTTCTTGGAAAATGAGGTTGAAGCGAACAACAAACAACAAAACCCCTCCCCACTACCCGCCCTGCTCCACTGGACCATACTCAATAAAAGAGAATGAACATGAAGTAGGTGACTAAGTGACACAAAATCAAATACGACTTTAAAAGAAACAGAAAGAAATACAGAAACAGCATAAAAAACAACACTAACTACTCCCATACAGTATTGAAATGATTAGTTTAGCCCCTCAAAGTATTTCAGTACTGTATGGTACACATAAAGCCCTTTTTACAAAATAATGCCATCAATTTGCCGCAATGCCGTGGCGGCATCAGGGAACCTTTGGTCGTATATAAGATCAGACCGTGGCGGTAATGTGGCGCAATCGTGGCAATTTTATAAAAGATTAGGTGATGGTGGCATAAAGGGGGTATGGGGCGGACTCAGCACCGCCGCAGACTTGCGTTTATCTCCGTTTAACTTGCTTTTTATTACGATTGAAGCCGTGATCGTTAAGTTTTTTTAACAAGCAACTCCTAAAGGTGTCTGTCCCCATCAGTCCCTGTGCAGTCTCTGGTGATCTGAGCTTCAGCTCTAACAGAGAGGTTCGTGGAGCGCTGCGGCGTTCCAGTTTGCCATGTCAGCTGATTTTGTTCAAAAAGCAAACCTTATTGCCCGTGTTTACTTTCATTTTCAATAAATTTGCCAGCCGGAGCTCAGCAATAACTCCCCACGCCATCATGACATCTGCCTCTGTTGCGCCAAAGCACATACGACAGACCATTACCGCAACATTACTACCAAGCGAGGGGGAACGAATGCCGCAAAATTCGTGCAATGCCATGCCAGCATTGCACGTTTATAGACATACCATTGCGGTAATATTACGCCCAATTGCCAGCATGGTGTGTCTTGTAAAAAGGGCTTAAAAGGATAAGATATACCCCGCCCATATCTCTGTGGGGGCAGGTTTGACACCAAATGGGAGGTTCCCACCACTGATATTTTGACCGTGCCTTGTCCCGCCCAGACAATCCAAAAACGGAAAAAGAGGTAGAGCTGAGGATGGGGCTGTTACAGTTGGAACAAATGAGCCAATGTAGCAACTAGGTAACTTAGCTAACCCAAGAAGCTAAAAAGGAGCTCCGGGGTAGCCAAAAAGCATGGCTGCTTGGCTTCCATGCAAGGCTGTGTTCATGCTGGTCACAGGTCACAAGCAGAGCCTCAGACTGCTGATTGGAGCCGGGCACCCTGTCCGCCTACGTGAGGTCACAACAGTGTTGGAGTTCAGTGAGAGCTACATGCAAACAGAGGTTTTTTTGGATGCTTTTAGCGAGAGAAATGCAATAAAGTTACTTCAAAAAAAAAAATTCAAAAAGCAGCGTTGTTTCTGTAAACTTCCTCAGAGAGTTCCACAGTTGAGCAGCACAACTAAAACCTAGCACAGAAGCCAGGTGGACGCGTGGCGCGTCTCGGACCCCTGGGAAGACCGGAGCTTGTTGCCGCCTGCACGTAGCAGCTGTTTCTGGCTGAGAGACAAGGAAGGGCTGGGTGCCCACCTCACTGGGCTTCCTCCGCAAGGATGAAGCAGCAGATTTACGGATCTCTAATCACAGGACTGTCGCTGTGCTGTTAAAGGGAAGGGCTCGTTACCGAAACTCACCAAACCTCTCCCCAGTTGCTACCTTGCAAATCTTTGACCACAGTGGTGCAGCGAAGCCCCGAAGCCTCTGCTAGCTACCAGTTTAGAAGTTTCGGTACCCAGTCAGCCCCTCCAACACGTTATGTTTCAACCCACCTTTTAGGCAAACAGCATTTCCCCCATTCAACCAGCAAAATACAGAGGTTAACGGCTGCAGGGGAAATAGCGAGGGTTGACAACCCATGGAAGACTCAAAAGGTGACTGACCTGTGGCTGTGGAGATGTGGCTATTGTGGGCATATTCCACCCAGGCGAGATGAGAGCTCCAGGGGGATGGGTGAGCTGAACAAACATAACGCAGCGTGGCTCCTAGTTCTTGATTCACCCGCTCACACTGACTGTTGGTTTGGGGATGGTATCCAAAGGGGAGAGCGACCCGAGCCCCTAGTGTCTCAGCAAACTCCTTCCACACCTTTGATACGAACTGGGGACCCCGATCAGACAAGATCTCCTCAGGGATGCCATGCAGGAGGAAAACGTGCTTAATAAGGAGTTGTGCTGTAACTGGAGAAGAAGGGAGAGACTTTAATGGGATAAGATGACATGCCTTAGAGAACTGATCTACAATGGTGAGTATCGTGTTGAAACCATGGGAATCTGGTAACCCACACACAAAGTCCAGAGCAATATGTGGCCAGAGTCGAGAGGGAGTGGGTAAAGGATTTAATAATCCTGCCGGTGATTGGTGGTCCCCCTTTTGCTGGGCGCAGGTGTGGCACCCCGATACGTAACTCTTAACGTCTCTGTTCATCGACGGCCACCAGAAGGTCCGTTTAATGAGGGCCACAGTGCGTCCTACTCCGGGATGAAGGGCAAACTTGCCCATATGCGCCCAGTGATTTTATTTTGTAGGTAAGATGATTATTTAAGTTAGGGGTGTTTTGTTGTTTTGGCCTTTGGTTCACCCTGAGTTATATTTATCCTCCCTCGCTTTTAGTTAATATAGAACTTGTTAATAAAAATCCTTGTATATAAGTCAGACTGTGGTGTGGTACTTGGGATCTGTGGAAAATGGGAATCCACCTTCATGTTGTGGCCTGGCCCCTCCTAGACAGGCTGTAACAGTCATCTAAGCAGACTGGCACAAACGTATTGATATAATCTCCCAAAACAGAGTTTACCAGAGTCAGAAAAACTGCTGCTGCGTTAGTTAGTCCAAAAGGCATTACTAAATACTCAAAGTGACCAAGGGGTGTCTTAAACCCGAGGACCGGATCACTGAGGGCCTCTGTAAAAACAGCGACTAAGGCATCCTCATTCCAGGAGGTCCTCGCTACCAGTGTGCAGAACCCCAAAGACATATCTGCCACCAACCCCTTTCCTTGCGACAGAGTCCAGAGCCTTTTACTGATATCTGTAACAGACATTTCCAAAAGTTTGCTTAAAATCCAATAAAAACTCAAACGATCCAGTTAGGAAGGTGTCACAATGGCTCTTGGCTTCGGCCCATCTCAAAGCCTTTCCCCTAAGAAGACCCACCACGTTCAAGATCTTAAATGAGTCAGCGGTAAAAGCTCCAGGCGAGCATTCGACAGCTAGATGGCACTGAAGTAGGAAGCTGTGACAGTCCTCAAACTCTCCGCTGAATGTGACTGATGGTGGGGATGCCGCCAAACAGAAGTGGGTGACTTCCGTAGGAACAGTAACTTCCGGTCCGGGGGCAACGGGAGCTGCCGAGGCGGTTAACGAAGGTTCCGCTGTGGAAGTCTGTGGTTGTTGTTGGGACAACCGGTCGTGGATCTGCCGCACCAGCGCCTCCAGCTGCTGGTAGCGGCTGTTGGCCACGTTTAACTGGTCCATGAGCAGCGGCAGAGTTTGTTCCTGCTGTCATAACCTGTGGGAGAGATCGGTGAGGGTTGTGTCTGTGGGGTTAGTGGTTTGGCCAGATGATTCTGTCAAGGTTTGGGGAATGAGTCTAACCGAAGACATGCAGAATCACAACAGAACACCGAATGAGGGAAAAATAATATATTTATTTTAAGGGGGGAAACTGAAGGTGCACTGGGAAGTCCATTGGGATTGGGAACGGGAATGCAGCATCTGGAGAGGGGAAAGCAAACACAGGTGTTGGGTTATTTTTTAATAAAACCAGGTCACCTTAAAGAGAAGTCAAATGCACAGAGGATTAGAGCAATGTTATTGTTCAATTCTACTTTGCAAAGTGGAGGGATGAAATGAATACACACCCAAGCATGGTTCACAGGATCTCTCAGCGAACATTCGTTCTCTGAGGGTTTTTATTAGCAAGCGCACATAACACGTCACATCACATTCCTAAACTGCTCTGTAGAGATCAGGTGGAAATGTAGGGAGTAAAAACAATGCCACAACTCCCTCATACAAAACCAGGTGCATTCAGTCAAAATTCTATTGCCCAAGGCACAGACCAGCGTGGTCTGAGGAAGGTCGTTGTCCTCCCTGTTGAGACAGGAAAGCTGGCAAAGCATAACACTTCCATTTTAATGAATCAACAGGTGTTTCTTATAAGGCAGCTATGATTTTAAGCAGTAATGTCAGCGAAAAACACGTTTTCTCTATCAACAGTTGAGTCCTGGGAGGTAAGTCTTAACTAGGAAGGTGCAGAGAAAAGATTTACTGGGAGTTGGGGGAAACACTGGTGTGAGGGGGCAGGTTGAGAGCCAGGGTATATCCAAGTGGGGGGGTCAAGGAGAGGGAGCATGAGGCGAGCAGGAGAGCGGGTCGGTCAGGGTGAACGGAGAACGTGTCTGAACAGAGTCCGGGAATCCTATGGAGCACGAGTGAAGAATCCTGGGGCGTAGCAGTATCCGGAGGCGTCAGGAAAAAACCTGAAGGCACGTAATCACAAAAATCCACAACCACGAGAGTACAAAAACACTAGTCTCAAAAACCTAGAAGACACAACGAGGGCTGGAAACTACCAAGCTGTAGTAATCATCCGGCATCGAGCTGTGTTCTACATCCACCTTATGTAGGAGGCCCGCTAATTGCTGACCAGGTGCAGCTGGAAAACTTCCTCTCCTGCAACACGCTCAAAGATAGGTTGTTGAGAGGGGTACTCACCCCGGCTCATGACATAGACATGTGTAGTCATTATTCTTGCATTTTAGTGCATCTTAATTAAAAGTTAATAGTTTGACATAAAACCGGCAGTGTGTTTTCCTCTTTAGGCTAAAATTCTACACTACACTGAATTTGAATCAGCCATTGCTAAGAGCTACCAGGTGCTGGTGTGATTTTGTGTCAACTATACTGCCGCTGTGGGCTATAAAAGCAGCCAAGTCTTGGGATAGGCCCCACCTCCATAGCGAGTTGGAATAGCAAGGCACCTCATGAGCCATCAGACACAATGGTACAGCTCAAAGCTGCTCGCCTCCAGAACAAACCTTCCTCCCATTCCTCTGTCTATTGGTGAAGCAGGTTAGCCGTCTGTGTCACTCATTGCCCTATCACCTAGTGACTGTCGTCCACTGGACTCACTCTGTCAGTGCCTAGAACAAGTAAACGACTGGATGCAGTCGAACGTCCTTCAGCTAAACAAAGACAAGACTGAAGTTATCGTCTCTGGCAACAAGAAGGTTAGGATGGATGTTATTGCTCAGCTGGACTCCAGGGGAATAAAGACAGAGACCAGGTTAGAAATCTTGGTGTCATCATTGACTCAGACCTGAGCTTCTCTGGACATATGAAGGCTATAACTAGATCAGCGTTTTATCACCTTCATCAAACATCAGGAGTCAGAGGTCTCGTGTCCAGACCAGACTTAGAGAAACTCATTCATGCTTTTATTTCTAGTCGGCTGGACTGCTGCAATGGTCTCCTAACTGGTCTTCCCAGAAAAGCTGTGAAGCAGCTGCAGCTTGTTCAGAACGCTGCTGCTAGAGTCTTAACAAGAACCAAGAGACCGGAGCACATCTCTCCTGTTCTTAGATCCTACACTGGTTACCAGTAAACTACAGAATAGACTCAAAGTGCTCCTACTGGTTTATAAATCACGCAATGGCATGGGACCAAACTACATGTCTGATCTCATTCCTGTATACACACCCAACAGGGCTCGGAGATCCTTAGGTAACAATCAGCTGGTAGAACCTCGGGTCAGAACCAAACATGGTGGAGATGCATTTAGTTACTACGCTGCTCACATATGGACTCCGCTTCCCCATGACCTCAGACGTGCCCCAGCCCTAGAGTTGTTTATATAAACCCTCATGTACTCATCACCTTTACATGAATTGTTTCTTATGCTCCATCGTCTCCGCTCTAATCTGTGATGTAACTGCTCAACCTTAATTCTGTCTTTTCCTTTTAGCTCTAAATTATAATTTTATCTGTGTGTATTTTTAATTTGTGTTCTCGTGTTTGTTGTTGGGCCATTTCCTGCTAATTGTAAAGCACGTTGAATGGCCCGTGTTTGAAATGTGCTCCATAAAAAAAAGCTGCCTTGCCTAATGAAACCTGTGTGCCATGTCTGCTGCAGTTGCTCTGAACTTCCAGACACCTGGTGAGCAGATGGACTTGAACCAGGGTAGGTTTCGGCAGAACGGCCTCTGTGGATATGTTCTGAAGCCTCCGTTCATGTGCCAGCCTGACAGCGTCTTCAATCCGGAGAATGTGGGAGGAGGCCCTGGCCATAGACCTGTCAAGTTCACTGTTCAGGTAAGCAAGTCAGAACCATCAACAAATGTCTGGATGACCTTAGTGAAGGAATCCAGAGTCTTGAACCAAAGCAGCAAATAGACCCAAAGAAGAACTCTGAACTAGAGCCCTGCGCGGGACTGTTTTCTTCATCCCGCTCCTGCTGAATTTCTGACCATTACCGCCCGCACCTGCAGCGTGCATGTCTACTCCCGCCCGCAACCGCAAAACTCGGAGAAATTATTACCTCACAATAAAAGAGATGTATGGAGTTTGCGTCCTCAACATGTCATTTTATAGGCAATACCAGGGGTCGGCAACCCACGGCTCTTCCATCCATCTGATGTGGCTCTCTGTGCTTGTAAAATAATGAATGGATATTTAAATAAAATGCTTTATATTTTACTGAATTAATTTTATATCTGTAAGTCAATTCTATGTAAAGATTGTCTGCGTAAACCTGAACAGGTCCAACCCGGTCTTACTGTGAGACCGGGTTGATGCGTCACGCTTGTGTGTAATCATATCGGTGCTTTCTGAGCTGAAGATGTGAGATTCTGGGATTCTCCTCAGACGGCTCCTGGATGTGTCGCCACATTGGAAACAGGAACAAGCACTATTCAGCCAAAGTTTCATCAGGGAACATTTTCTAAGTGACAAGTCTCTCTGAGAGACCGGGTTTGGAAAACACTCGCTTCAGTGGGAGGAATCTTCCTGCATGCGCTCTGGTTCTGCAACGCGCTCCAAGCCCCTCTCCACATCTTCAGCTCGCTGTGGAGCTTATGTAGTATGCGCAGCTCAGATGTTCAGATGGGAATCTTTTGAGTGATTTAGCTACATCTGCGATGTGCGTAGAATAAAATGTCAGTTCGTCTGCATGCGTCGGGGTAATTCTTTCTATTCTTTCTCCGTCAAAATAAACGGTCAAATACGGGAACTGTCCTGTCAACACAAGCCCTGCTTTTAACTGTTCTGTTTTCTTGTGAAAATTGTTGCAAATAGATATAATTAAACTTGATTAACACCAGAGCCAGTGCGCCGTCATCTCCGTGACGCTAAATGAGGGAAAAACAAATAGATCGGGTCCTGCACGTCTTTTAACACATCGGTCAGGATTGACGCACTTTGTTTTCATTTAGTTTTTAACCCTTTAACGCCGAGGCGTCACCAGGATCACCGGTGACGCCTCGGCGTATGTGATTTCAGATAACTCCTCGCTATATTAAACTATAGAATTCTTAAAAAAAGAAAACACAAAGGAGCTGCTGTGTGGGGTTTAAAGGGTTAATGAAATCAAGGCCGTTTCATATTCTCTTCTCCTCTGTAATCAGGCAGTCATCGAGGTCGCTTCTCTAACAGAGACCTGAATGAGAAATATTAACACAATCGGAGAAACTCCTCCAGATGTCTGACTGGCCTCGCTTCGGTGTTTGTGTCATAAAGACCTTGTTTCAGCTTCTTTTCAACATCAGTTGCCGACTCCATCATACTCATCCCGATCCCGCACTGTTTCTTTTAGCCGACCGTTCCCGCCCGCAGCAAAATTCACACCGCCCGCCCCCGCAAGATTTGTGTTGGGTCCGGCGGGACCTGGTCCTGATGCAGCCCTCTAGTCTGAACCTCTCATCTGTTTCAGATTATTTCAGCTCAGCAGCTCCCGAAACCAGAGTGGGACAAGCCCACTTCCATTGTGGATCCTCAAGTAAGAGTGGAGATCCATGGAGTTCCCATTGACAATATGAAGAAGGAAACTCCTTATGTGGGGAATAACGGTATTTACAGGACAGGAACTTGGAATGTTGACTTACCAAAGTTTGAAAGAAGAGTGAATGAATGGCCTCTGTGTCTCAGGCTTTAACCCGCGATGGGACTGCACCTTTAACTTCATGGTCCATGCGCCAGACCTGGCTCTGGTCCGGTTTGTGGTCGAGGATCACGACTTCACCTCCAGCAACGACTTCCTGGGACAGTACACTCTACCGTTCAGCAGCCTGCGTACAGGTGGGTCACGCTTTGCTTCAGTCTGGAAGTGGATCACATTCTCAGTGAAACTTCCTGGCCCTGACCCTTTTCTTCTGACCTTGCAGGTTACCGACACGTCCCGCTCTTGAAGCTGGATGGGTCCAGCCTGTCACCAGCCTCCTTATTCATCCACGTAAAGGTTACGCCATGTTAGGATGGTCCATCCAAATCCTCATCAGCTCCAGATGTTCCACCATGGTGGCTTTTATCTGCTGGATCAAACCCTCAAAGCCATCCCAGGTCCTTAAACCACTGAGCTGATCAGGAGCAGAGAGGCAGCTGTTTCCTCAGTCATTAAGTCTGGTTTGATGCATGCTGATGAAGAAAGGAGCCCTGGGACTGATGACAGAACCGTGTCACATGGTTTACCTGCAGTCTGAGGACACAAACATGTTAAATCAACCACTCACCTGACCCTGAGGATCAGGCAGATTATGTACCTGGTCACAGCACGGCGGGCATTACAGATGTTTCTACGTCAGCAGGGTGGTGAACATCTTCAGTTCTGACACTTTTAATTCTTTAAATATATTATTTATGTTAGACAGGAATTCCCTCGTTTCTAGGACAGATGTGGTTTATAAAGCAGGAACTGCTGCAACCGTGTGTGTGCAGGCTGGATAATTAGTTTGAGTTAGCAAATGTTTATTAGTAGAGTTGTAGTCAGGATTCTATACAAGAGTGAGGCTCTGCTCGTTTATGCACCTGATCTATCAGTCTGTGACTCTGACCAACCTGCTTAGTTTCATGTTTAGTTAGAGTCTGCTGATCTCTGATGGCCCTGGTGGACAGGTGTGTGAAGGCTTACATGTTGATGGGATGCTAGGACCTTATTACTGTAACAGAAGTTTTCTCTGCTGACATCATCAGGTCAGCGGCTTTAGAGCTATCGTATTTGGAGTTAACTGACATGTTCTGTGTTCATAATCTGTGAAAAGCAGCAGCTCAGAGAAGTTTCCTCCCCAGCATCCAGACTGATGATAAACGCGTAATCTCATTCAATCCAGTTTATTTCTATAGCGCCACATCAGGACCAGAGTTGTCTCAAGGACACATAATAAACATCCCAATACAGGTCAGGTCATTAAGCCAATCAGAAGAAAGTTTCCTATATAAGGAACCCAGCAGGTTGCATCAAGTCACTGACTAGTGTCTTTGCGGTAAAATCGGCCACCGGGCCAGTTTTAATATATTTTTGATATTTATCTCGCGGGCCACATAAAAATGCTCCGTGGGCCGCTTCTGGCCCGCGGGCCTTGTGTCTGACACATGTGATATAATCCCTGTCTTGTCTCTGTGTTGTGTCGGTCCATTATTGTTGTCAGCGTTGTTCGTGCTCTATGTGACCTTTATGTCTCCAGGTTTTGGTGCTCTAAGTGAGCTTTTGGTGTCCTGAGTTCCAGGACTTTTGGATTTTTGGCTCGCTGCCTTTTTGGATTTATTTTTGTTTCATCCTGCAATAAAAGGATTTTTACTTTGTATCAACTCCTGCCTCTTGTCGTCTGGGTGATCTGCATTTTGGGTCCTAACCATCCCCTCAGCGTGACAGCTACAATGATGTTCTGCTGAGCTGTGGTGGCCTCATGGAGGGGCCATCGTCTAGCACACTGCTGCTAACCACTAAAACATTCTCCCTCTCCTGATAATAACTTTTTACTCTCTTTGACATTGAATGTGCTACTATTAGTTTACCCGTTTAATTATAGATCCACTAGGACAAATACAATAAAGTTTATCTCTCACCAAATAGAATAACACTGAGCTGGGGAAAGGACACGCACACACTAACACACACATACACTCACACACACATACACTGAGCTTGGGAATGACACACACACACACCGAGCTGGGGACAAAGAGGCTGGAGCTACAACTGGAGGGGCTGGGGATGACAGAATGAACACCGGCCTTGAGGGGAATGATCTGAAGGGCTACAAATAGAAGACACTTAAGTGAGACACAGACAAAGGACACATGAGGGCGCTATGAGACACAAAAGGGTAATCTAGAGAGGGATGGAGAACATCAGGAGACACATGGGGAAAGACGCAGACCATGACAGTAGCTTCTTCTGGGGAGAAAAACACTGAAATAGCAGGAAATAATACAGTTAAAGAGCAGACTGTAGAAGAAAGTAGTCGAGTGTGGAAAGTGGTCAGTGTATCCTCCAGCAGTCTAAGCCTATAGCAGCATAACTACAGAGATAACTCTGGATAATCTATCCTATTTAGATGGAGGCATGTTGGAGGCAGGGCAAGGGAGAGCCGTCTTTACCGACTGTACACTCCACCTCCCTCTACTCCCCCACTACATGTGGGAAGCCCCTGCTGGCTGATTCTACTGCCATTCAAAGGCTTCCCCTAAAGGTAGGCATGAATTTCAGCCGGTCAGTCATTCAGTGGTGGGTGTGTTGGGTCGGTTCAGCCTGAAGCAGACATCCAGGGGAAAAGGTCTGACAAAGTAGTCGGATGAGCGTGAAAACACACAGGCTACCCAGATGTGAACACAGTATGCACTACCAGCGTCGTCCCATTCAGGAATTTTACCTCGGGTGGAAACAGAAGAAACCTTGAAAGTCTGAAAAACTATTGATCCAGAACCACTTGACATATTCAGAACATCTGGCTGGTGGGAATGAAATCAGGGGAGGCAGACTGTAGTCTTGTAGCGCTGTGACAGTGTTCCTGTGTGTAATCCCCACATGACCCCACCTAAAGGGCTGTTTCTGTACGAGTCCGTGCTGTTGGCTAGAATTTGTTTAAACAATAAAATAGATGATATGTAACCAATTATGAGTCACTGTTGGTATTCGTCATTTGTTTTACATAAGTAATGTCTCCATGAACGCGTCTGTTTGTTTATTCATCATCATCCATCAGCTGGTGAAGTTGTGAGGGTTAGGGTGATGGATGGAAGCTGCTTTGTTCCTGATGCGCTTCAGCTTGTTTAGTCACTACTTCTTCCAGTCCTTCCAGAGCAAGTCACACCAAGATCCAATTGTGCTGTAAACATTTCCATTGTCAGTATAGCACCCTCTTCAGCTTCCAACTATGCAGCAGCCGCCTTTGGTCACAGGGGGCCCAACCCACTCGGACCCTCCCCTTCCTGACCATGGGTTCCTGGAAATAAGGAAAAATTAAAGCAAGTCAGCATGGCTGTCAAGGCTGTTTTCTGACCCGCTTGTTATGTGCCAAGGAGTTCACACATGATGTCTGCTGAGCCTTAGACTCCTCCCCAGAGGCGGCCTGGTAACCAGGCCACTGGGAGGTTTCAGCAAAGCGCTGCAGATCCGTCCGCCGCCGTCCATGAGCATGCCGCTGCACCCGTGGCCCCAGAGGCATAATGGAGCAGAGAGCGAGAGACTCAAGCAGAAGAAATCTCTGGCTACAGACGCAGCAAAGTGCTGAGAAATGACTAAAATGAGGTTAAAGGTGAGAAATGAAACACCATTGGTGACAATACAGCTTTAATATGATGTGTTCAGTCTAAGGAGATGTTGGTACAAGGGTTGGCTTTTTGGGCAAATCAACGTTAAATTATGTTAAATTCCCCTTTAAAATGACTAGGAGGCTGCGTTGGTCTATGTTCAGTTACAGTAGATGGTTTTCTTGTTTTCCATGTGCTCAGGAGGTAAAAGTCGCTCCCGGTTGGACGTGCCCAGAAAACCTCACCAGGGAGGCATCCAGGAGGCATCCTGACCAGATGCCCGAGCCAGCTCAACTGGCTCCTCTTGATGTGGAGGAGCAGCAGGTCTACTCCGATTATATAATTATTATTATTAGCTAATTTAAAATAAACATCCAACATGTTATCATTTTTAATGTTGTATTTTCTGTTTTAAACAGAGCCTGCTTCATGCTGCAACACATGTCTGAGATTCAGATGAGATCGTTGGGCACAAATCTACCGGCTAGATTGAAGTTTTCCTGTTTTTTGTTGACCTAGAGATAATTTAGCTCGTATGTCACTAGAAGTTATCAACGACTTGTTAGAATGCACCAGAAATCAGAAATGGACATCTTCCTCGCCAAATGTTTTCTGACCCCCCACCACACAGGTGAATGTGCCCCAGGGGCACGTTTAACTGAACTACACAGAACTTGATTTTATGGGACAGAAGTTCAGGTTACAGCAGCAGAACACTTATTTATGTGGTAGGGACAGAAACTGGCAACACGTGAAGCCTCTACTTTGTTGTTTTACAGTCTCTCTTCAGCCTGACACTTTTAGTCTTCTGTGTTAGTTGGAGGGTGGTGGCCTGGGATGGTTTCAGACTCCCGGCCTGGAACATTGTCCCAGTCGGCCCCTGGACACTCCCATAGATTTCAATAGCATGTTGTGCGGTTGCCGTCACCATGCAAGTGCTTCTGGGTGCTAATGCGAGACAAACAAACCCAATTGCCAATAGAAGATATACACTTTCAGAGCTACTGGGCATCGATGAGAAGCCATAGACTGGAGGAAGTTGTGCTGATGGAGAAAATCATACCAGGGGCTTTTCTTGATGGCGACCCTGCTAATCCTCGATAACCAGAACGGAAGCGCTGGCTCAGATGTCACGGTCAAAATGTGTCACTACGCGAGGATATTGACTTAGCAATGAAAGTAAAGGTTTATCCTGGAGTGAATGGTGGCACATGGTAATAATAATAATAATAATACATTTTATTTCAACAGCACCTTTCTAAACACTCAAGGACACTTAACAGACAGAGATAAAAGGCACAACAATAAAAGATAGAACAGCATAAAACAAACAGATTGGAGCAAAGAGAGTAACTACTGGAATGCTAGACGGAACAGGTGGGTTTTGAGTCTGGTTTTAAAGAGAGTGAGGGAATCAGGCCTAGTCCACACGTAGCCGGGTTTTTTTAAAAACGCATACCCGCCCCTCCAGAAACTTGCATCCACACCACCTCGTTTTAAAAAAAACTGTCCACACGTACCCGGATAAATACGTTGTTAAGGACATGCCGGACCTGTAGGCGGCAGTACTTCCCCCGAATTGTATCCAGTCAGCGTAACTTTTCGTCTTCCTGTGGTCTTCCGCAAGGAGCAGTAATTCCGCTTGCAAAAACAAACAAGCAAAAAGCGCTTGGACAATTGATAAAGCGAGCGCAGCTCTGAGGGCATCCATGCTGTCGGCTAGTGTAAACACAGGTCGCACACGTGATGTCAGCATTTTTTTGTCGCGGAAAGTGACGTTGCGGACCTTAAAACTCCGGTTTTGTCTGTCTACACGCAGACACCCAAAACGGAGAAAACGCAGATCTTCACTTTGGCCGGAGTTTTTAAAAAGATCCGTTTTCATGTGGATGACAGGCCAAAATGTAGAAAAATATCTACGTTTTGGCAGATCCCCGGCTACGTGTGGACAGGGCCTCAATGTTACGGAGGTCAGGAGGGAGTGAGTTCCAGAGCTGGGGAGCAGAGCAACTGAAGGCCCTGCTCCCCATAGTGACCAGACAGAAAGGTGGGACAGAGAGGTGGATGGAGGAGGAGGACCTGAGGGAACAGGTGGAGGTTGAAGGATGAAGGAGGTCTGAGAGGTACGGGGAAGCTAGGTTATGGATGGCTTTTGAATGTATATAGCAGAATTTTGAATTGGATTCTGGAAGTGACAGGGAGCCAGTGGAGCTGCTGAAGAACAGGGGTGATGTGGTGGAAGGAGGGAGTTCTGGAAATGATGCGGGCTGCCGAGTTCTGGAGAAGTTCCGAAGAGAAGAGAGTGCAGTAGTCAATACGGGAAGTGATGAGGCTGTGGATAAGTATGGCGACCAAGTGAGTAGTGAGGGAGCGACGTAGGCGGTTAATGTTACGTAGATGGAAGTAGGCAGACCGGGTAATATTGTTTATGTGGGACTGGAAGGATAGTGAGGAGTCGAGGATGACACCCAGACTCTTGACCTGAGGGGAGGGGGAAACTAAGGAGTTGTCGACAGGAAGTGTAGAGCTGTGGATTTTTGATAGTAAAGATTTAGTGCCGACAAGTAACATTTCTGTTTTATCACTGTTAAGTTTGAGAAAGTTTGATGTGAACCAGTCTTTGATTTCAGATAAACAATTGGTGAGGGAGGAAGGAGGGAGTGAAGAGGAGGGTTTGGAGGATACATAGAGCTGGGTCTCATCCGCTTAACAATGAAAATGGATGTCAAATTTATGGAAAATATTTCCCAGGGGAAGAAGGTAAGTGATGAAAAGGAGTGGGCCAAGAACAGAGCCTTGGGGGACGCCAGTAGTGACAGGGAAGGGATGGGAAGTGAAGGATTTTAGTTGAATAGACTGAGTACGGCCAGAGAGATATGAACGGAACCAATCAAGCGGGGTATGAGAAATGCCAAGGGAAGACAATCTATGGAGGAGGGTGGTGTGAGAGATGGTATCGAAGGCTGAACTCAAGTCAAGGAGGATGAAAGTGGAGAGCAGTCCAGTATCGGCAGCAGTGAGGAGGCCGTTAGTGATTTTTATGAGTGCGTAGCAAC